CAGCTGCGTTCTCTTCGTCATTGCCAGGTAAGGGACCCTTTAGAGCTTTGTGGGTTGGGGTGGTAGTGGTATGTGTGTATGGGGGGAGAGTGGGGTTTGTATCATCCATTGTGTCCAGCTCCCTGTTATTCTAGGGTTACTGTATGTGACATGGGGCCATATGGTGTTGATGAGGAGTTGTGGGAAGAGGGCACAAAAAATGGGTAAGGAGACAAAATCTTTGACTCAGAATCAAGATATCTAGGTTGTATCCCTGTACCCTCACCTAAAAAGTCACCATGTGACTTTGGACAGACTATCTCCCTCTCTGCCTTAGTTTTCCACTATGAAATCTGCCTCTTTACCATCCTTATTGCATAAGCATCAGATCCAGGGTCAAGGGCCCAAGGACTTTCTGCTCCCTTTCCTTCTTGCCAGGGCCTCTGGGAAATTCTAAGAGTTGGGAATTGACATTGACCTTCAGATCTCAGGATCTGTTTCCAAAAAATTGAATTCCAACAACTCTAGGCTCTGTCTCAGTGATGAGGACCATCCATGCCATTCAAGGGAGGGCTGAGTTGATAACTAAAGATGGAACCTTTGGGAGGTGATCATCCTCAGTGCTGCCAGGGGCAGCCAAGTTCCACTGCAATGTTGAGATTGCAATAGGTGTACAAGAGCCAGTGAGATTTAGCCTCAGTCAGACAACCTTCACAGCATACAGAGAGCCTGGTGCCACACACACAAGTAATTGTGTACCCATGCACCCATGCACACATCACACATGTATTTATGGGTATGTGTTCATGTGCACTCATGCACACATTGTATGGTTTAGCACACATGCACAATCAACATGTCTGCTTGACCACTCCTCCACACCTGTGTTTTTCCCCACAATTGCCAATCAGGGGCAAAGCAGCCACTTCAAACTGCTCTTGGTTGCTTCTCAGCCATTACTTCAACCCCCCAGCCCCTCCACAGAGCAACAGCCATCTGCCAGCTGGATGCTGTACCCAGCTCCTGCCTCTCCTAGAACATTAGCTACTTTGCTAACTCAAGAGAAGCCACAAGACTTCAACCCAGGGCTGGGTCTTGCTGCCCTGTAAGAGCAATGTGAGAAGGGAGGGGCATATCACATGCTTTTGGAGTCTTCTCAGTGATGATGTTAGCACACAGATAAGAAGAAGCTTCTTAGAGAGGCTAGGAGAGATCAGAGTGATTGACCCCAAGTGGCTTATGATGCAGGTTCAGGGTCAGAAACAAGAAACTCTCTGAATTGTCTACAGCAAGAAGGAGACTGAAGCTTGTGGAAGACAATGGGAGCATTGATGTCTACTGAACCTAAGGAGATAGTTGCTTGGCCATGAGTCCAGGGAGAAAGAAAGGTTCAGGGAGTCAAGGGAGGGAGGTGTCTGAGAATCAAGGCGAGGGAGGGAAGTGTCTGGTATAGTTCAGGGATGTCTGTGTTTGTTGGTGAGGTTAGGGAATGAGATAGCTTGGAGTTAGATCAGCATCTGAAGGTATCTCTTGGATAATTAAAGGAGAAATATGCTTGTATAGGAGTTTATGAAAAGAGGTCTTACTGAAAGTATCCAGGGAGAAGAATGTCTAGTGAAGTCATGAAGACATCTTGTCTCTGGGCAAGGTTAAATGTATACCCAACATAGCTGTTGCCTTCAACCAATGCAACCAATTCCAATGCCAGAGCCTTTTCAGCTTCCTAGATCCTTCAAGTAAGTATTAGTGAAGGTCAGGACAGGGTTAGGATGAATGGCCTTAGAGAGCATAGGGAGCAGCCAGGATGGGAAGGGACTGAGGGTCCTACAAGAGTTGAATGAAGGAACTAGGAATGCCTAGTCTAGATCAGGGAAGACTTAGTGGGGACCTAATAGCTGTCAAGGACTGTTATGAAGAAAAAAAGATTAGACTTGTTCTGCTTGGCTTTAGAAAACAGAACCAGGAACAAATAGAGAAAGATAGGAAAAGGCAGATTTAGGCTTAACATCCAAAGGACTATAAGCTCCTTGAGAGCAGGAATTGTTTCATTTCAGTATTTCTATCCCAAACACACCAGACAGCACTTTGAACATAATAGGCAAAGGATAATAGGATCATAAATTTAGAATCGAATGGGGCATTAATAAATGGCTTCATTTATCTAACCCCTTCACTTTATAGATGAGGAAACTGAGGCAGACAGAGGGCAAGTGACTTTTCCAGAGTCACTCAGCCACTAAGTGTGTGAGGAAGTGTTTGAATTTGACTCTTCCGGACTCCAAGCCCTACATTAGCCAATTGTGTAAATGCTTGTCAAATTTAATTGAAGAAGTAAGGCTTCCTAAAAATGAAATGAGTTCTCTGGCAAGCTGGTAGGTTCCTCGTCACTGAAGGAGTTTGATCCGAAACTTAATGAGCATATGCTAGGAAGCTATAGAGGGGATTCATGCTTCAGCTGAGGGATGAACCAGATGACCTTTGACCTCCTTTATTTTGAGGTTCCATAATTCTGGGCACTATTCAGTGGTTGCTTATTAACCAACACACTGCCTTCCTTTAGCCAACTATCACCCCTCCCAGTCATGTCTCAGTGTGACAGGGTCCCTGATGCCAGAAGATATGAAACACATCAACCAAATGAGAATTAGGTATTCTGGCTCATGCCATAGCCTCCTTTAGGCATACAACCTGAGGATCAAAGGGTCAGGGATCCCAGCTCTAGCTCTGAATTAACTCGAGTATGCAAAGGACCCTTGGGTAGTAGAAAATAATAGTGATGTTATTGAGCTTCCCTCCCATGATCATGGGGCCTAAGGAGTCTGAGAAAGGGAGTACAGGAGGCATCTTAATTTCTAACAAGATGGGGCAGGCGGGATGTCATGTAGAGCCTGAGTTGGGAACACCCACATAATGCCCATTCCATCATCAGAACTGAGGAGAAGATTGCTGCCATCATTGAGCCCTGTCAGGTGAGCTGGTGCCCTGTCTGCTCTTACATAATAGCTGACTTTTATGTAGGTTTAGAGGTTTAGAAAACCCTTTAACTACATTACCTAATCTGAACTTCACCAAAACCTTTTGAGGTAGGCAATATGAAAGAGAGTTGGACTCAGAACCTGAAAAACTTGAGTTTGAATCCTGCCTCAGCACTTTGCTGGCTGTGTAACTCTGGGCAGGTCATTTAACCTCTTGCAGCCTGTTTTCTCATTCATAAAATGGGGATGATAACAGCACCTACCTGCCAGGGTTGTTATGAGAATCAAACGAGATAACATGTAAAGTGCTTTGCAAACCTTAACGTATTCTATAAATGCTAACTGTTTTCAATACAGACATTATTATATTAGAGGTAGGGAGACTGAAGCTCAGAGAGGATAAGTGATTTTCCCTGTCACACAGATAGTGAATGGCAAAATAGTGATTCTAACTCAGATTTTCTGACTACAAATCCAGTATTTTTTACATTGTACACTTTACTACTTCTAATCTTATAAAGAGACAGAAACAAAACACACACACACACACACACACACGCACACACACACACACAAAAACCCTTCACTATGTATACTCAGATAAGTCACTTAACCTCTGAGCCTCTGTTTCCCCATATGCAAAATAAAAGGTTTGGACCAGATGGTCTCTGAGTTCCTTTTGAGCTCTTAAAATATTTCCAACTCTAATTCTAGGGGAGGCAAATAGGTCAGAAGTAATTCAAGAAAGTTAGACTGGAATGCCCTCCAGAACTAACCCAGTCCCTTCACAGAAAACCCTACCAAGGGAATTGAAAATACTGGGGCTCAGACCTGTATCTTAGAGACAATTCAGGTCCTGGGGATTAAGTAGAAGACTTCTTGATCTCACCCTTGTCAGAGGGGAACCACTGTCTTTTTGTGGGTCTTTTCTGGAAACCAATCCTGTCCAAGTCATACCTCTGACCTTGGAGACCTTGCACTGTTTCAGGGGCCACTGCTGTTTCCCTCATCTGTTCCAGCACATCTGGCTCACACTTGGACATGACCTTGAACTTTCTTCCTCCTCCAGGCAAGTGATAGGTTTGGCACTTTCCCCCTCCCCCCTTCATCTGGCTCCTATAGGAGAATCCCCTTGACTTTGGTCTCAAGCCTAGGGCAAGAATGAGACACACTGACAAATGAATAAATGGCCCCTGGGGTATTTTTTTAATTCCAATATGACAAGAATTCCAAGGCTCAGAGGGCCAATATTAGTTCAGATCAGAAATCCTAAAGAGCCAGAGGGAAAGGATGGGGGCAGGCGGGATGAAGGTTAGCATTTCAGACCAGTCCAGGGACCAAAACCCAAATCTGCAGATACTTTTCATATTTTATCTGGAATAATAATAATAATAATCCCCCCTTAAAGCCCAACCCATCATCCATGTTGTGAGGTTAGAATGGGAGGGAGGTGGGGATCAATAGCAAAGCAACAAAAAGCCAGCCAGGGTCATGTATAGGGAGCACTTTCTGTTCTCTGAGACCACTACAGTACCTGGATGGGCCTGGTAGCTCTGGGTTCTTACAGGGTCTGCAACCCAGTCAGTGTGATGGAACTGCCCTGTGAAGAAATGCCTGGGGGAGCATAAGGTTGAAATGTGGTCCTGCTGAAAAACCATTGCAATGATTAGCTTGACACTGAAGATCTAAGCATACATTTACCTTCTGGTACCAGAATAAGGCAAGATTCACCAAAACCAACCAGAAATACCAGTAAATGCCCTGCCTGCTGAAAATGCTTACATGCTCTTTCCACTTTAGTGCACTACCTCTACTTTTCTAAAGAGAAGGCAGCACACACACACACACACACACATATGGTGCTCACCGCTAAAACTAGCAAACCATGGAAGACATGATCAGCCAGTGGTATATTAAAAACAAACAGGTAACGTCACCAGAATTAGGCAAAGCACTGCTTTTTGTCAATGGTGCCCTCATCTACAGGTCACACAACAACATATTGCTGTCTAATGTAGGGAAATTATAAAA